GGGGGGTGGGCCGGGGTATTTTAGAAATTTTTTGCCAAGAAAGTCGTGGCCCTCCCACTTTCCAGATTGGATTAATGCATGACCCTTCATAAATACCTAAACAAAAGGATCTGACCCTCCCCCCACCTCTTCCAAAACAAAAATAACTGGAAGTGAAAATAATTGACCAGAAGTGTTGCCCACATAACCATGTCTGCGCACAAAGCAGTTAATTGCGTGGCGTTGCACGGTGAAAACTTGAAAATGGTCAAGGATGTGCGAGGAATAGAAAGAAGGTTTTTATGAGGTCAGATTGTGGGCCTAGCCACAAGTTGCCGATGAATCCCGAAAAAGTTGCCGATAAAAGTGTCTAAAAGTTGCCGAAAAGTTGCTGAGTTTCCAAAAAGTTGCCAAAATTTTTCTGCCTTTTGTACCTTTTTTAGGTGTTAAAGATTAAAAATTTGCACATTGCTTCTTATCAAAACTTTATTTGTCAAAGTCCAATGATAATATCAGAGGTTCTTTCCATTTCACTTGATCAACAAATAGTCACTGTAATTGTCCGCCATCTTGAAAAACGTGCAATGTGATACCACTGACCTCGTGATAAGGCATCACAAAAATCAAGCCAAGGGGGGGCCCTAAGTATTGTATTTTAGAATAAATTGAATAAATGTCTATCCAAAACTGACCAATGTGGCTCAAAATGTGAAGAAAGTGTCTTTAGAGAATCTCAAAAAGCCCAAAGTTGCCGAAAATTCTAAAAGTTGCCAAAATTCTAAAAAGTTGCTGAAAATCTCAAAAGTTGCTGAGCAACTTGTGGCTAAGCCTATCAGATGGATTAGCTCAAGTAACGAATCGTCACCGGACACTAATTTTATACCAAAGCCCCACGAAACATTACCGACGTCAAAATATGGACAAAAGCGGGCACAGGTCGAGAGAGACAATTTACGTTAGTTGGGACAAGATAGTTTTTTGACATAATAAGTTGACATCTGTTTAAAATGATGTAGATTGATTTAGACTGGTAGCTTTGCTTGTATATATAAGGTTTAGGTTTCTATACACTTTGCGTGTTTGGTAACAAATAATTAAAAGTCAACTAACCGACATGGAGTAGGTTTTTCCTTGCCAAAAAAAAAACAAAAAAAAACTGTGACCCTCCCCCAGCTGCATATCAAACAAGTTTGACCCTCCTCCCCTCAGAAGCCCTGGCCCATCCCCCCCAATAAAAAACATACCTTCCCTAAGGTCTTGAGAATAAAGAAGATAATCACCAACTAAAGAAGCTATTGATTGTTAGACAAATTCTCCCTGTTGATACCTTAGGAAATGTATGGAGAGCAGTGTAGAGGATGTGCATACTGATTTTAAGGAAGGTGTAAAGGGTCAGGTGATTCCCTGTGTTTCTAAACCCCGTGCACTAATCTGCCAGAATATGACCAAATTAAATTACTTTAGACAAATTAAAGCAACCAAGAATATGCACATCCTTGCTTATCTGAGACGTTGGTTTGCTGAGAAGTATTTCTGTTTTATCACACACTACTCAGGCAAATGTTTTTTATTTTCAAAAGGCAGAAAAATGGCATTACAATTTTCCATGCTAGACTGGGTAAGACTGGGGCTTCAAGGGTTCCAAGTGCAGAAAGTTAAAGTTGATTACTAGACCGGTTTCATTCCTTGAACTTATCACTTCTTAATGTCACTCTCTTTAGACCTCCTCCTATTATTACAGACCTGGACAGTGATGGAATTAATGGTAATCATTGATAAAACATATGATCTTGAATAAGTGATCAAGTATGGACATTTTCAAACTAAACCTGTGGGCCTGGTAGAAAGTATGGAGTTAAAAAAGTTAGTCTTGAAAAGTGGCAAATAAGACTGTAATGCATGTTGTTTATTTTTGTAATTAGTATTTGTTTGTTTTGTTTTTGTTTATTTGTTTTGTTTATTTTGTTTGTTGTTGTTGTTGTTTCAAGCATGCAACAGGTGCATTATGTATTAATTAACAGGTGCATTATGTACTCAATACTTAACGAGTAAGTTTACCAAGCGATCAAATATACATACTCGTAACACTCGTACGTGGAACTCTTTGCAGATTCCGCTATACAGAACGGCTACTGGCCAGTGCACTTTTTCCTATAGAGGGGCCAACACATGGAATAACTTGCATAAAGAACTTAGGCAAAATGCCTCATTGGCATCTTTCAAGCGTGCTCTGCAAGACACACTACTGAGGCAGACATTTCCTTTATAAGCTTTAGAACTTGGTGGAATACTATCTTAAATTCAGACCATGAGTTTTATCGTTATTTATGTTTTTATAAATTGTAAAAAGTTTGTAAATAGTTTCTGAAAAACCTCACGAGGATGTTACTATTAAAGATGATGATTAAACCACCCCATGGTGGCTCAAAATGATTTATAAGTGTGATCAGAAAATGTCGTGCAGTGGGGAAAATCTTAAGAGGTTGAGGAGAGAGAACTTGGTAGGCATCACATTTCTCATAGTTAGATGCTGCAAGCACCCGACTGCCTACCCAAAATTTTGAAAATCACTTGCTTCTGGCTCTTGATTCACAAACTCTTTTCATGTTCTCCAAACATCCCTTGTGGGTCAGTACACCCATAAATCGATAAAATTTGCAGTCTATTGAGTAAGTAATAAGTTTTTTTTCTTGTCTTCATGGCAGAAATTATCATTGTAACTGATGATTCAAGACTTCAAGTGATGATGCTACCGCCACAAGAGGAATACAATCAATCATCTACTCTTCCTCATCTTCTTATCAAGGTAAAAGAATGTTCGTGAAGAGAAGTAATTTCCATGTACCCATATTGTTGTTATGAGATTGGACACTAGTCTAGAGTATTATGGTATGTGGAATAACCACGAGGTAGAGATCAAAAGGTTGAGTTGAGTACATGTGTAGTCATCTCTTCCCTGCAATAACGGTTGTAGTTCATTGCATTCACTTTACAACAATTTCAAACTATATGTTGTTGGGTGTGTGGTTTCTTTGTTTGAGAATTAAATGTACTGTATTTCCATAACCTCTAGCAGAGACACTGATTTAATATATTTTGACCTAGAACTTAACACTTAAATTGAATACCTCGATTAGCACTGCTATCTGCAGAGCCAGGGGAATAAGGCGGTCAGCTGGACTATGGCTCCCAGGGGTGTGTGAGAAAGATTTATTATTGTTGTTAAATAAATGTGTACATGTAAATAAACGTGTACATGTATATTTTTAGATACTTTTTAAAAATATTTTGTATGCTTAACAAATTGCATGATATTTTCCTTTGAGTCAGTTACTAAATCTTTTGCTCAGGCAGAAGCAATCCTTGGGGTTAGGGCTGGCATTAACTCAAGTAAGCCTGTGGCACTTGGAACAGGATGTGAAGTAAAACGCATTTCTTCCCCTGACATCTGTCGCCAGGTGAAGTGTCATTTTATGAATCTAATTGATAATGATTATGTACTAAGTCTCTTTTAGTAAAAAAATTTGCTTCATCTAATGAAGCCAAATCATCATGTAGACCTGCCTTTTAAAAAGAATACTTCTGTTACGTTTTAAATCAGAGCTTCATACCTGAGAAATAATCTTAGCATTCACACTATCAATTAATGAATCACTAGGAAATGAACAGGAAAACAAGTAAATACAAAATAAATGAATAAATTGATATATAAATGGATACAAAAGGTTATCTCAATTGACCACTCCTACATCAGAGCCAAAGAGGAAGGGCTATCAATCCTAATATCAGCTTTCAAAACTCTTTATGGTGGTTAATTTAC